CATGACTGAAAAGGATTCGGCAACAACAAATAATGATAATGTTGGTAGCTGGTGTTTCAGGTTTGTGAAGTGCTTTACATTTATTATCTTATTTCATCTTCACAACAACTCAGGGAGGGAGGGGCTACTATTATCCCCATTTTATAGATGGGAAAACTGAGGCTTAAAGGTGCCAAGTGACTACCATAGCATCCATCATGAAGCCAGTTAAGTGTCTGGCACAGGATTGAAAATCAGGGCTTTCTGATGGCAGGTCCAGATCTTTCTCCACTAAGCTACCGAGCTGCTAAGTTCAGTGAACAGAACAGAACCTCGCTCTAGCACTGGGCAGCAAAACTACCTCCTGTTAATTTGTAAATATATTTTGTTTTTACTTATATCTGCATATACTGTCTTCTCCAGAAAGAATGTAAGCTCCCTGAGGGTAGGGACTTTTTTGCATTTGACTTTGAAGCCCTGGAATCCCTGAATCCCTAGCCCATTGTTGGAGCTTAAGAAATGCTGCTGAGCTGGAGCAGGGGGCTCTGTGGGCCACTGGTGCTGAGCAGGCTGAAGAGGGTGGAGCTCTTGAGCTTTGGAGTTCTGAGCTATGGTCAGGCTAAAGCCAATTAAGTATTGAATCAAAATCCAGCACCAAGACTCAGGGAACAGCAGGCTTGCCCGAGAGGGCAAACTGGAACAGATCATCTATGGAGCAGGTCAAAGCTTCTGGAAAGATGGCGGTGAGGGGACGGGCTTGCCCAAAGTCACCCAGCCACTTATGAGCCTAGCAGGGACTCAAGTTTAGGGATTCAGATCACCAGACCTGTGTTCTTCCCCTAAAGTGCGACAGTTCTAAGTCATTGGAATTGCCATGGAAATGGGACCCTAGATCCAGAGCTGGAAGAGACCTTAGGGGACATCTAAGGAGAAGGGAATTTCAGTGTCATGCTCAAGGTCAAACATTCAGTAAGTGACAGAGCTGGAGACTCAGATCAAAGTTGACATGGACTTCAACGGATTCCAAACATTTAGCAGCAACACTTCCCTAGACCCCAACCATCCTCATTTCACAAGAATCAGTGATCCACCCAGACAGCTCCTTCTATTCCCCAGCCCATCCCGAAGGGACATGGCACACCACTCTTTTTCAAAAGGTTGCTGACCTCTGCTCTAAGAGTGCTTGGTCTGGGGGGAGATGGGAGTTCTAGTCTCGTACTAGCTGCCTGGCTATGGCCTCAGGTTAAGATGAGGGGCTTTCTGTCTCTGTGTCTCTCTTGGACTTCTAGACTGTAGACCCCTACCCCTCTAGTCCACTCCCCTCACCCCTTACCAATCTCTCCCCTCCATGTGCATGTGTATACATACAAAAGTGTATATACATATGTACATATTTATCTATAAAACCGTGTGTCTATATGTACATATATGTACATGTGCATACAAACACACATGTGTACACATACCTACCATCTCTATTTATGTATCTACTATCTCTATCTATCTATCTATCAGTCTGTCCGCCTGTCTCTCTATTAGAATGGGCGCTCCATGAGGGGAGGGACTATTTCCCATTCATCTTTCTGTTCTCTGAGTACGGTTTCTGCAAGCCCAGGGGAGCCACTCGTGGGGTGACATATACTTCCTCAGTCTAGGCTTTGGTTTCTCATCTGTAAAAGAAAGGGGTTGCCCTGGATGACTTTTAAGCTCCTTTCCCCTTCTACATAGAGCCTATGGTCCTACGAATAGAATCAGCCTTGATTGAGTCAGTTGCCGGAGGAGGATGCTATCTTTGGAAAGGCCAGCAGAGGGCAGGTGTTGCTCAATTTCAAAGGATTGAGCTTGGCCGGCTTTTCAAGGATGCTTCCATAAGGCTGGCTGAACCTGCGAATAAGAGAAAGCAGATGGCACTTCTTGGCACTGGGGCTGGTGTTCCTCGGTGTAATACAGCGTTTGACCAGGACCTCCCAAGTTTTTAAGCTCCAGTAGGAGAGTGAACAAGCAGGCCAAGCCTGCTTCTGCCTGCCCCCTCTGGCCGTAGGTCCCAGGCTCCTTTGCCTTTTTAATCCTGAAATTCTATGATACAATGATTTTAGGAACAGAACCTTCCGGAAGCCAAAATGAGCTTCTAGTCTGTCCCTTTTGAGAGAGAAGTCAATCCTATGGGTGCCCCAGAATAGGGCTGCGAGCAAACCAGGGCTCTTAAGGAGTAAACCCTGATGTCATCACTTCATGGGATGCCATGACAGTTTCCTGACATTGAAACAGCCCCAAACTGTGACCTGGGCATATAGTAATATATGGTACCAAGATACGAATTGCCCAGTGCCTCAGAGGTAAGAGCTCAGTACTGGGAATTTGGAGATGGGAGCTCCAGTCCTGGTTCAAACATTTATTAGCTATGTGACCAGACAAATCATTGATCTTTTCTGCGACGCAGTTTCCTTATCTGTCATAGAGGAGGCTGGGCTGGACATTGGAGGGCACTGCCATCTGTACCAGAGGTTGGCAAACTACCACCCACAGGACTGAAGGTACAAGTTTGCTGACTCCTGTTCTATACTTAGGTTTCCATCCTCTCACATCTGCAGTTGCCTATTGGATATCTCAAATTGGATATCCTGTAAATGTCTGAAACTCAACATGTCTAAAACTGAACTCATTATTCTTCCCTCAAACTACCTTTTTAAACTACCTTATTACTGTGGAGGGCACCACCATACTCCCAGTCCTCCAGGCTGACAACCCAGGTATCATCCTTGCCTTCTCACTCTTTTACCCTCTCCCGCCTTCCCCCATTTCTAATTTGCTGCCAAGACCTATCACTTTTACCTTTTTGTCACATTTCTTCTATCTGTCCCCTTCTCTCCTCTGACACTGCCACCACCCTGGTACAAGCCCTCATCACCCACCTCATGCCTAGACTATTGCAATAACCTTCTGGTTGGTCTGCCAGATGTCAATATGATCTTCCTAAAGAGCGAATCAGACCATGTCTCCACTCCCACTAAATAAACCTCAGTGGCTCCCTGTCACCTCAGGTACCACATATAAAATTCTCTGTTTGGCATTCAAAGCCCTATATAACCTAGACCTGTCTCCTTCCCCCTTTCCATTCTTCTACACCTTATATCATACCATCCACACTGTAATTCAGTGACACTGGCCTCCTTGCTGTTCTCTGCACTAATACCCCATCTCAACTTAGAACATTTTCTCTGGCTTAGTATCACAGTATCATAAATATAGAAATAGAAGTCTTCCAGTCTAACTCTCCCTCCTTGTCCCTCCCCCCTCCGCATTTTACAAATGAGGAAACCCAGAGATGTTGATTGATTTGCTTAAGGTCACACAGGTAGTAAGGAAATGGTATAAAGATAAAACGCTTAAAAAAAAAAAGCAAGGCCTTTCCCCCTTTTATAATGCATTTTTTCCCCCATCTGCCTCTGATTGTGTTTTGACCTTGTCATGATCTCTCTTCTGCCAGGAAACCTTGTAGCTGCAAGCAGGGGGTATATCAGCTGATAGAAGATTGTCGTCTCGGTAAGAGTGGAATTCCGCTGCTAACCTCATTTCCTATTTACGCCCCAGCTGAATCTTTGCTAGGGGACACAGGCACATGCCCTCAGATTAATGACAAAGTGTCTCTCTTGACATGTCAAGCACTTCAGACTCAGGGTCTCTGATATTTATCTAACCTAATTGAATTTTATTTCCCCTACTTGGGAGTTAGAGCCTGCTGGAGATAAATGTCTCATGAAGTCTGATTTTGGAAACAAAATTAATGGTAGGGCTCCCCCCTCCTTTCTCTCCTCTCTTTTGGGCTGAATTGTGGAACTCCAACAGCATGTAGATGTGCACTGTCTCTGGGGGGCTGATTTCTAAGTGTAGGTTAAAGCATATTTAAGCATTGGTGATTTGAATCTTGGGCAAAGTTTCTTATGTCATCTCTCCTGATTGATTGGGAGAATTTAAAGAACCAGGGATTCTTTGAGTTGGAAGGGATATCAGAGACCCTTCCTGGGTCTAAGCAGGAATTTTTTCTCCAACATCTCTTATTAGTGGCCACCCAACCTCTGCTTAGATCTCCACTGATGAGGAACTCACTACCTCTCCAGGCAGCCCATTTCACTTTGAGATAGTTCTAATTACTATTCATCAAATGAGATAATAATTATAAAGCAGTCAACACAATGCCTGTCCCTTGGTAAGTGCTATATGTTAGCTGTAATTATGAACAATAATAATAGCTAGCATTTATGGAGTATTTTAAGGTTTGCAGAACACTTCATATGGTTTTTTTCATTTCAGGCACACAACCACCCTGAGAGGTATATGCTATTATTGTCCCAATTTTTTAAATGAGGAAATTAAGGCAAACAGAAGTTAGGTGACTTACCCAGGGTCACACAGCTAGTAAGTGGAAAGAGGGCTGAATTGGGAGCCAGAGGGCATGGGTGTTCAACTCGTGTCTGTGGGATCTTGGGAAAAGCCACAGTTGTCTCATCTGTAAAATGGGGAGGGGGCAGGAAGGAAGGGGGAGGCCGAATGCCCTTGAAGTTCTCTTGCAGCCCTAAATTGACGATCTTCTAATTCAGGGGTGGGGAACCTGTGGCCTCGAGGGTACTCTAGGTCCTCAAGTACGGTCAAGTGAGGCCACAGGTTCCCCATCCCTGCAGACTCATGAATGGGCTATTTGTCCCGCTAGAACTGGACCCAAACAGGACAAGGCAGATCCCTTTTCCACATGAGAGTCCTTTTCAGATATCTGAAGTCAGAGATTATGACCCCAGACAAAGTCTTCTCTTGTCCAGACTGAGCATCCCCAGTCCGTTTGCCATTATCTTTGTTCTGCTCTTTGGGGCTAACTCCAAGCTTGTCATCGCCCTTCCCATGACATGGCCCCCAGATCTGGACCCAATGTACCCGATGGGGCCTGACCAGGGCCCCCGAACCCTAGGGGAGTTCTCCTTCCAGAGAGTCTCTTAAGAGGAGGTCAGAGAGGACCAGCCAGCACCTACCCTTCCCTTTGGAATTCCTCGTCCAGGTTGGATAAAAGCTGTGAGCCAGCAGCAGAGAGATCGAGGGCAGCCAGGGGCAGGTCTCGATAAGCCAGGTTCACCAGCTGGACTGGAGCCATGCTTTTGGTTTCTTCTTCCACTTGTTGGGAGATGATCTCAACTTCAGGAACCCCTCCTTCTATGGTGGGCCTGGAGCAACGAAGAGGGACGAGGGAGAAAAACAAAGCAGTTGGCTGGCCAACCTTGAGAACCTCAATGCCCTGACCTTTCTAGTTAGGAGCCGCGAATAAAATTGCTAGCCTCAGCAAACGCCTAAATAACCCCCAGGGGATAGGGCTTAGGTCTTGGAGTGTGAAAGGCCTGGGTTCAAATCCTTCTTCTGACAGTTATGAACTATGTGACCCTGGGCAAGTCACTTAACCTCCGTTTGCATCAGTTTTCTCAACTTTAAAATGGAGATAATAGCATCACCCACTTCACAGAGTTGTTGTGAGGATCAAATGAGATAATGAATGTAATGAGCTTAGCATAGTGCCTGGCACATAGTAGGTGCTTAATAAATGCTTATTCCCTTCCCTTCTCTTCTCAAGTGGGGAGATGCCAGCAACTGATTGTTAGTAGTATCTCTGCATTGTATTACTGATAACAATTCAATTCAATAAGCGTTTACTAGATGCTATAATAATCATTGTAAAAGCTGGCATTTATGTAGCCCTTTAAAGATCGCAAATTACTTTAATGAATAATCTCATTTAGGTCTCATAACAACCCCATGGGGTATATAGTTCAGGTAGGATTATTCCCGTTTTACAGGTGAGGAAGTTAAGGCTTCAAGATGTTAAGTGATTTGACCATGATCACACAGCTACTGTCTGAGGCTGGATTTGAACTCATGCCTTCCTGACTCCAGGCCCAGAGCTCTGTATACCATGTCACTTAGCTGCCAATTGGCCAGGGTCTCTGTATTTCATCTTTTAGGGTTCTTATTGATCTGAAGCTTACTACTGTGACCTTGGAAAACTCGCGTAACTTCCTGGGGACTCAGTTTCCTCATCCATAAAATAAGGATGTTGGACTAGATGGCTTCTGAGGGTCCAGGCCAGCTCCTGTCCCATCCCTTTCCCCATTTCATCCAGAGGTTATGGTGGCAATGGCCCTTACCCTTCTCTCCCCTGCCCCTCCCTCATATCACCCTGCCATAAGAGCTTAAGGGATCATAGCTTTGGAAACACAAGGAATCTCAGAGGCCATGGAGTCCAACCCCCCTTATTTTACAGATGAGGAAACTGAGTCACGGAGAGCTAAGGTGAGTCATCCAAGGTCATAGTAAGTAGAGGGGCCAAGATAGAAGCCCAGGGCCTCTGACACCACATTCAGAGCTCCCACAGACGGACGGACATTCAGACTAAATGAAGGACTGAACAAACAGAAGGAAAATGTAGCCTTGAGGGGAAGTGCTTAGCTTAAATGGAAGTGGTTCACTTTTCATATCTAGGCATAAAGGGCCCCGGAAGCCAGGAGATTTGGGTTCTAGTTTCAGCTCTGCCAGTAACTAGCTTTGTGACCTTGCACGGCTCACCCCCTCACAGAGTGAGAGACTAACAGACTCTCAGAGAGGAGAGAGCCTTGGAGGGCAGCTCTGACAAGTCACATCTGAGCAGCTAGTCACCTCTGAGACACGTGCTCAGAGAGCCCTGCTAGCAGACCTCCAGTGATGAGGAATGAAGTAAAGGAGACAGCGTGTAATGATAATAATTCCTCCCTCCCTTCCTTCCTCTCTTCCTTCCTCCTTCTTCCCTCCTTCCTTCCTTCTTTTCCTCCTTTCTTCCTTCCTCTCTTCTTCCCTCTCTCACTCCTTCCTTCTTTTCTTCCTTTCTCCACTCCTCCCTGCCTTCTTTCCTCCCTCCCTTTTTTCTTCTTTCCCGTCTTCCCTCCCACTATTCCTTCCTTCTTCCTCCATTCCTTCCTTCCTTCTTTCTTTCTTTCTTTGTTTCTTCCTTCTTCCCTCCTTTCCTTCCTTCTTTCTTTCTTTCCTTCCTTCCTACATAGTAAACACTTAATAAGTACTTTTCATTAATTTATTCAGCCTCTAGCCTCTTTCTCTTCTCTCTTATTTATTCTTCACACATCTGCCAAAAATCCACAGGTCATTTTCTTGCTCAAAATCCTTCAGAGTCTCCCACTGCCTACTGAATAAAGCACAAATGTCACCTACCCTGGCATTTAAGCTGATTGAAGACTGAATACACACTAGCTCAAGTGGCCCAAGTAGCCTGTTGGCTGACTCCAGACACATGACTATGCTTGACTTTTACATCTCTTTCAGCCATCCCGCCATCCACCCAAGCCATCTTACCATCTGCCCACTGATACTGCTGTACACCCCTCATTCTCACCTCCACTCCTTTCCATCTCTTGCCATGAGCATAGTAATCAAATAAAATTGACGACACCAAGGGGATATCATATACATCAACTCACCATCTCTGGGATTCCCCAGAGTAAACCTCCCTTCCCTGGCCATCACCCTCTTAATGTTTTGTCTTCCCCTATTAGAAGAAAAGCATCTTGAGGGCAGGGAATGTCTCTCTTTTTATATTTGTGTCCCCAGTGCTTAGCACAATGCCTAGTACGTAGGAAGCAATGGATAAATGCATTTTTCATTGATTCATTCATTCCCCTTGACAGTTTGCCTTCAACCCATCTTTCCAGCCTAATCACACCCTATCCCACCTCCAGCTGCTGCCCAAGGTGAGGAGAGTAACCCTCTGAGCTCCCCCACTAGCTTTTGGTGACCCTGCTGCATCATTTTGGGTTACTTACTGGGGACTGGTCATGGTGAATGATACATCCGAAGCAGTTGGCTTTTCTGATCTTTAGCTGCCCTCCTCTCTGAAGCCTTCATGCATTGTTTCTACAAAAGACAAAAAACACCATGTCCTGAAAACAAGTCATGGAATGACAGTTTTATCAAAGCAAAAATTTAGACACAAATTTCAGAAGGTTCCGAATCCTTAGCACTCCCAGGAGGATCACACAAAACCACACAATTCTCTTCAGTAATAACAATTTTTTCATTTTAAAGACTGAGTTATTTTCATGTGAGCTTGTTCCACCAACCCAGCCCAAGTGGCCCATTTTTGAAAACTTGGAATTCCCAGCCTCTGCATTTTCTTGTTGCTTCAGTAAGTAGGAAGGGAAAGATAGGAAGAAAAGATGAGTTGACCACATGGTAAGGGCAAAGAATGATTCGCAGATGGCCAAAGTGTTCCATTGGTATAAGGATATAAGGATAGACAGACAGACCAGCATATAGAAAGATAGGTAAGTAGGTAGATAGATAGATAGACAGACAGACAGATAGATAGACAGAAAGGCAGGCATATAGACAGACAGACAGATAGAGACATACATACATACAGATAGATAGATAGGTAGATAGATAGATAGATAGATAGATAGATAGATAGATAGATAGATAGATAGATAAATAGGTAGATGGATAGATAGATAGATAGATAGATAGATAGATAGATAGATAGATAGATAGATAGATAGATAGATAGAGACAGGCAGGCAAGCAGATAGGCAGACAGATAGATAGAGACAGACAGACAGATAGCTAGCTAGATAGTTAGCTAGCTAGAGACAGACAGACAGATAGAGACAGACAGAGACAGACAGACAGCTAGCTAGCTAGCTAGAGACAGACAGATAGATAGAGACAGACAGAAAGATATATAGACAGAGACAGAGAAAATAGATAGAGACAGACAGAAAGGTAGATAGACAGACAGATGATAGACAGACAAAGACAGATAGACAGGCAGATAAAAAGATAGAAAGATAGAGAGACAGACAGACAGGTAGATAGATAAATAGATAGATGGTAGACAGAGACAGACAGAAAGATAGGCAGACAGACACAGACAGACAGACACAGACAGACAGACAGATAGATAGGCAGATAGGCAGACAAAGTACTTGTTATGTACTTACTATGTGCTAGACAAAGGAAAGGAAGTTTTCCAGTACTTTGGGTTGATCCCTGCAGTGGACTTGTGGGGGATCACAGATAAGTCATACAGGATGGGTTGTGATTTGCATTTTGGAAGGACCTGTTAAATATGAGCTCACAGCTCCATTTGAGTATCGGCATTCATTAAGTAAGTCTGGATAAATAAGGTATGCTCAGAGCCTGAGTCTAAGATGGGAAGAATAAAGCTCCAGGTTAGGAAGACCCTGAATCACAGCACCCTCCCTCAATCCAAGGAACACAGCAGGTCAGAGATCAGAGGCAAGGTTTCCAAAATCTGGAATTGAAGAAGGAGAGAGTCACTGAGTAGAAGGCTATTTATCTTCTGAATGACTTAAACTGTGGAGTGTACAAAGAGTTGTAACACACAGCTATTGACCAAAGAGAGCTCACAGTATATATAGTAGAGAGAACAAGTCATGTTCACAGGACCATAAGACCATATGACTATAAAACCATGGGTCTAACCATTCTAGAAAGCAATTTGGAAATATGCTAGGAAATGGCTTGTATCCAAACCATATCGTCAGCTCAGAGATCCCACTCCCAAGCATCTACCCCAAGAAGGTCAAAACCAAAGTGAGATTGTGTACATACCCAATTATTCCAAGCAGCACATTTGGTGATAGCACAGAAATGGATACAAAGTCGATTAACCAGGGAATGGATAGGCAAGTCACTGCTATTAATGTAATGGAACGTTACCTCTCCGTTAGAAGCGATGAGTACGAAGAATTCAGACAAAGAAAATGCCAAGTTCTTGTTTCCTGAGCAGCTGATGCTGTGATGAGACCCATAAATGGCTTATCAAGCTGTTATTTAAAAATAATAGCCCCCAAACAAAATGTACTGTGAAGCATGAAGCTAAAGGGGAGAGACAGCTGGTCTGGCACCCTCTAAATGCACCACTAATGTGCAAACCTGCTGTCTAGTGATCCTGTGAGAAGGAGAGTTTAGCTTGTGGCTTCATAGTAATTGGTTCTGACTCTTTGAGGATAAAAGTTTGTTTGTTATTTTGAGTTCCAGTGAAAAGTTGCCTGCTGTTTATGAACCTAGGGCATTTTCTGGCCAAGATTATGTTAACTTGCTCCAACCAGCCCTAGTGACCACCCTCACCCACAAATCACATTTCACACATATTATGTTAACCTTTCTATACAGCTTTGAAACACCTGATCTTCCAGGGATCTTAGCTCTAGGCCAACAGCCACCTTTTTGAACAGATAGGAAAACTGAGGTCCCCAGAGGAAATATAACTTGCCCAGATTCACACTATGGGTTAGCAACTGAACTAGGTCTCCTGGCTTTCAGACTTGGGCTCTTTTTGCCACCAAACAACTCTATTAGACGCTTTCTATGAGCAAAGCCAAGATTTAGATAAGGCACAGTTCTTTCCCTTATGGAGTTTACAGTCTAGTAAGGAAATAAGATATAGAGCCAGATAAGTGCCTGAGGGAAATTGATCAGGAATGTGCATGTATGAGTAGGGTGGCTCGTCTGGGAAGTCCTTCCTCCCTTGCTACCCACCCCCTTACCTGTAATGAACAAGATGATGCAGTAAGAATGGAGAACTATCTATGTGAGGTCTCATTACCCACTGGGAAGATCAAGCAAGGCTGAAGTGGCATGACAGGTGTAATTGAGTCAGTGGTAACAGCGACATTAGATTTCACCATGAACTTGCCCCAATTCCAGGGCTTTAGGGCCAGCAGGGTGTTGGTAGATACCATAACCGAGATGGCTCACTTCGCTTCTTCCCCTATTCCAAGCGTGCTGCCATGGCTGAAGCTACCTGCCTGTTCCTGAGGGAAATCTCCTCATCTGTAAGAAGAGGGAGTTGTAGGAAAACCTCGTCAACTGATACAGAGTGAAGGGAACAGAACCAATAGAACAATGTATAAAATGACCACCCTTATGTAACAGAAAACAGAATGCTGATCCAATCAATAAACAGTTGGGACTTCAGAATACAACGAAGCAGGTGCTCCCCACTTCCTCACAAAGAGGTGATGGATTAGAGAGGTCTGGAATGAGGCATATACCGTAAGATGTGCTCTGTGTGCTTATTTGTCTTGGGACTTAATTATATATATATATATATATATATATATATATATATATATTTTTTTTTTTTTTGTCCAATGGAGGACTTTTATCTGGAGGTGAGGGAAATTGGTGGGTAATGAAATTACAGAAAGGAAAGAAGGAAGAATGAAAGAAAGGAAGGAAGGAAGAAAGAAAGAAAGAAAGAAAAAGAAAGAGAAGGAGGGAGGAAGGAAGAAAGAGAGAGAGGAGGGAGGAATAGAGGGAGGAAGTAAGAGAAAGAAAAGAAGGAAGAAAAAGAAAAAAGAAGGAAGAAAGAGTGATGGAGGGAGGAAGGAAGAAGGGAAGAAAGAGAGAGGGAGGGAGGAATAGAGGGAGGGAGTGAGGAAAAGAAAGAAAAGAAGGAAGAAAAAAGAAAAAGGAAGGAAGGAAGAGGGAGGGAGGGAGGGATGAAGAAAGGAAGAAAAGAAGGAAGAAAAAAGAAAAAGAAAGAAAGGAAGAAACATCAATGAAATTTTTTAAATACACAGGAGGAAATTCAGAGCAACACAGACAAGCAGGGCAACACTGATACTATCATTTTAAAATCAATAGATACTTTTAAAAATGTCATAGGGATTAGTGGTTTCAAATACAATCAATCTTTTCTGAGCTTTGTATATTGAAATATTCATGTTTGTTGATGTTTAAGGTCATAACGAAAATATAACAAAATAACGGGATTAGTCCCTTGCAGCTCTAAAAGTGTAAGATCCCATGATGCAGGTGGTTCCCATCTGTGGAGGCAGCAGGCTACAGTGGGAGTTAAGAAGGCCTGAGTTTGAATCCAGATTTGCTCCTGACCACCTTGGTTAAGTCATAGCATTTCTTTGAACCTCAGTTTCTTGTCAGTAAAAAGGGGATAAGAACATGACCTAGTTTGCAGGGTCCTTGCAAGAAATGTGCTTTGCAACATTTTAAATCCTATAAAAACATGAGTGGTTACTGTTACTTATTTCTGCCCTTACCCTATTCTGCACTAATTTCGCTGCCAAGGAGGAGAAGGGGCGAGGGTCACAGGCTGCTCCGGCTGACTTGCAGTGACTGCACCTGACGAATAGCCAACGCGGTCAGCCAAGGGGACAGATGGCCTTTGCCTCCCCAGAGCGCCCTGGAACACAGGGGACCGAGCCTGGCTGTCCCCTTTTAATCCCTGTACCTTTAGACCTTTTTTGGAAGCAAAAAAAAGACTGTGGGCTTCTCGAATCCGTCAATCAATATGTATCTATTAAGTGCCCACCACTGTGGAGGCATTGGACGTACAAACACAGAAATGAAACCGTCCCTGCCCCCAAGAAACTTTTGTTCCATTGGAGGAAACAACGTGTAAGGAGGTATATAAGTCCACATGGAATCAACAGAAAATCAACACGAGGCAGTTTGGAGAGGGGAAGCATGCATAGCTAAGGAAATCGGGAGAGGTTTCCTATGGAAGGCAATGCTTGAGCTGAGGCTTAAGGAATGAAGGGATTTCACAAAGTGGAGGTCAGGCAGGATCGCGTTCAGAGCATGGGGAGATGGAATGCTCCAGGTGAAGAGGCCAGCGCAGCTAGACTGCATGCAGAGTGTGGGATGAGAGTGGGATAGAACACAGGTGGGAGCCAGGCTGGGAAGGGCAGAGGAGTTTGTTTGATTCTCAAGATAATGGGGGACTATTGCCGTTTCCTGAGTAGAGAAATGGCGGTTAGACCAGTGTTTAAGGATAAGCCTTTGGTGGCTGGGTGGAGAATAGAGTGAGGAGAGTCCGGGAGAGAGGTGGCGAGGGCCGTATGGGCAGCAATGGATGTGAGGGATAT